GTGCCCCTGGTCTGCTGGGGACCGTCTCCAGCAGACCAGGGACACCGGGAGCAAAGCCGGGGAGGCGGAGGGGCGCTGGGGCGCTGCCGGTTGGCCTCTTAAGGGGGGGGTAGTCTTATACAGCGAGTAGAAGACGAAAACCTATCTTTTAACTAGAAAATTAGGGGGTCGTCTTATACGCCCAGTCGCCTTATACGCCGGAAAATACGGTAACCTAACTGTCAGGGTGGTCAAACACTGGAATAAATTGCCTAGGGAGGTTATGGAATTTCTGTCACTGGAGATATTTAAGAGCAGGTTAGACAGACACATCTCAGGGATGATCTAGACAGTGCTTGGTTCTGCCCTGAGGGCAGGGGACTGGACTCTATGATCTATCGAGGTCCCATCCAGTTCTAGTGTTCTAAGATTCTCTCTCAAAAAAGCTCTGTTTTCTCTATATTGGGATTCTGAATGAAGGAGCAATTGGTGCAAACTGCTCTGAAGCTTTTATTGTGGTTCTGTCAAATGACCTTTGAAACATGCTGCAACATCTCCTATGTGGCCTATGACTGACCTTATTCCCCACTTAGTGCTTTCCAGTGGAAAACAAACATTTGACTATTGCAATTCAGGTTTATCAATGTGGATATTATAGGGCTCTTCGTAAAATGTTCTATGTGGTTTTGTTCCCCAAGTTGCCTCTTCCGGATTAATTTTTGTTAGGATGTGGGATGGGGGGGCGGGGAGCTCTTAAAAGCTCACATCCATCCTCCATATTTCTTTGACAAACATTACTTTTTTTCCTCTTTCTAATGAAGCATAAGCATTTTTGCTGCTGAACTCTAGCTTCAGTTCAGCAACAGTAACATTGGACAGTGTAATCTAAAGGGCAGATACTCTGCTGCAGTGAGAATATAACTGGTTAGCGGCACAAAATGTACAGCGATTAACTGAAGGTACTTTCATGTGACTAACTCCATTCTCCTAAGCAAAACTTTCACGGGTATTTCAGAAAGACTCACTCCTAGGGTACCTGGGACAAAATTAGGCAAATTGTGATTGATAGTGATGATGGCTGTGCAAGTTTGTTCTTGTAATTCTTTAAGCCCCCCCCCCTCCTTTTTTCTTGAATATTCAATAAGGTTGAACCTCTCTAGTCTGACACCCTCAGTATTTGACCAGACCGGAGAATTTGCTGAACCACAGGAGGTCAATATTGTCCAGCAGCATTACCAACGCTTCCACTGCTTACTGGGCTCTTAGAAGACATTTAAGGTTAAATTAGAGCTAAATAACTGCCCAGAACACTGGGAACCAGGACTGGTGGCGGTAAACACGCTTTGAGACCCTGGGAAACTTGGCTGCACTCAGGATAAATGCACATCCAGCTAACTAAAACCATACTGGACCATGGGATGTTGCTGGACCAGAGTGCTGGACTAGAGTTGTTCAACCTGTAGTGCATGCTGCATAAGGCATTGCTTTTTGTGTAGTCCTAAAGAAAGCAACCTCTTAAAGGCAACAGAATGATAAATGTAAATAAGAAATGCAACATAGGGACTTAAAAGACAGAGAGAGTTACTTCAAACTAATCACTTCACTGTCCTTTTTTGAGCACAAACAAAATGGCATTGCCTCTTAAATGACAATAAAATTAAAAAGCCTGTGGCTGGCTGACTTGTCTGCAGTATGCAATGATATCTGGCAATGGGATACATGCCCCAGATAACGTGTGCTTTCAGGAATGAGCTTCATGTGTGTGTGTCACTGTGCAAAAATCTACTGCTGTGCTGAAGATGTTTGATTTTATCTGTTTGTTTTCAGAATCTCTTTGCAAACAGCTCAGGAACTGGAGTAGATGAAGGGTTAGTTTCCATCCTTCGGCCTCAGCAGAATGTGTGCACATGGTACCTGCAGTCTCTGGATGCCAGCCAAGTGTTAGGCACAGCTGTTTCTTTTGCTTATACTGAGAGAGGTATCTCCCCCCCCCCCCCCCTTTTTTTTGTGGTAGCAA